ATGTGGTTGCTGGGAATTGAATTCAGGTTCTTTGGAAGAACAGCCAGCGCTCTTAACCTCTGAGCCATCTCTCCAGCCCCAGTTTTTTTTTTTTTAAAGATTTATTTATTTGTTATGAATACAACATCCTGCCTGTATGTCTGCACGTCAGAAGAGGGCACCAGATCTCATTACCGATGGTTGTGAGCCACCATGTGGTTGCTGGGAATTGAACTCAGGACTTCTGGGAGAGCAGTCAGTGCTCTTAACCTCTGAGCCATCTCTCCCGCCCTCCAGCCCCAGTTTTTAATTAAAATTATTTTATGTGTGCATGTGTGGGTGCACAAGTGCCAGAGCAGAGGTCAGAGGACCTTTTACGTATACAGCCTGCTTGGTGGCAGGTATCTTTACGTGCTCAACCATTTCACTGATCACATATCAGAGAGGAGAGAGACAGAGACACAGGGTTTCTCTATGTAGTCCTGGTTGTCCTGAAACTCTCTCTGCCACGCCACCACCATCCTTTTTTTTTTTTTTTTTTTTTGAGACAGACAGCATCTTGCTTTGCAGTCCCAGATGGTCTGGAACCAGGCTGGCCTCCAACTTTCCATCCTCCTGCTTCTGCCTCCCGAGTGCTGGGTTGACAGGTGCGGGCTACCATGTCCCACTCAGCCTTAATGCTCTGTAGTGTGGCTCTATTAGCCTGTTTGCTATCAAGTTTTGGGTTGCTACCAGTTTTTCATTATTAGGAGTATCTTTTTAGACACTGTATACCCATACAGAGGCTCTATAGGGAAGAGACCTAAGATGGCTGGACTAAAGTTTGTCAACACTGACAATGAGTTCCAGCTTACATTCCCACAGTAGTGGAACACAGCCTTCCCACATGCCCATGCCATCACTGAATAGCTATGTGCAGGCTTTGTTCTAAACACAGAACACAGATCTATCTGCCTTGTGGCACTGTAGTCTAGAGGAGGGGAATAACATAGTATTTAACATATATCCTTCACATGTATTATTTAGTAACCTATGCAAAATAGAGAATGACCAGAGGAAGAATGAGGTGTAAGTAGCTGGCAGCGAGAAGCCAAGAGACATCAGGGGCCAGCTGGAAGGATTTGTAGGTGAATGATGGCACTCTGCCTTGGACTCAGGGAGAAGGGTCATGAATGGGAACAAAAAGCAGTCAGGCTGCTATCGCAAGAATCTAGCTGAGATGGCATTGGCCTGGGCCAGGGTAGTAACAATGACTTCAAGTAGAAGGGGTCATAGACTGAAAACTTTAAAACTAGAGCTTCTGGGGAGGAGGACGGCTCAGTGGGAAAAATGCTCACCAGGCAAGCCTGATGACCCCAGATCCTCATGGTGGAAGGAGAGAACCAACTCTCTCAAGGCAAGTGTTGGAACTGTTACTAAAATTTAGTTATTTCATTTTACCTTCTAGTAAATCATCTTATGTTAGTAAGAAATCCGACTTACCAGTGAAACCAACTGAGAGGCAACAAGCCCATCTACAGGGGAGCCCAAGTTGGGACAGGTAGTTGATCAAAAGGAAAATCAGTTAATAATGTACCAGCCGGCTAGGTAAGTAGACCTCTATCGCTCTTCACACTGCTACCCTGTGAAGCTGGATGAGGGGGTCTTTCCTGCCTGGCTCCTCCAGCCTCTGGGGCCTGCTGATATCAGTAGACAGCCCCAGGCCCCTAGCAGCCTCATTACCATTCAAATATGCCTCAGTTGAACCCACCCAGGGTATTAGGGCTTTCCTTTTTTCTTTTTTCAACTCTAATAAACAGCCTTGAGATTAAGGGGAAAGGGATAAGACCAGCTTATCTTAGTGAAAAAGGACCTCAGAAAATTGGAACATGGGAAAGCTAAATCTTGCTGAGTCTGCCTGGTTTAGCAATACATCTGTGTCTCACAAAGGCCCTGGGACCCTTCTAGGGAAAACCAGACAGCTCTTCTGATACAGGCCAAGAATGGAGGGTTTAGTTAATCATGTGGCCTTCCTGACTGCTTTCAGAAGAGGACCCACAACATAAACTTCACTGCTAGTCAGAGCTTCCCAGCAAGGTTTTTGTGTAAAATCCCAAGACCTGGAGAGAGGCTGTCAGAATGAGCAGGAAGACATTAGGAAGGACATCTGAGTGCAACCTTTCATAAACTTGTTAGTGCTGAGCTCAGCATACGTCACAGTCAGCCCCTTCAAACAATTTCCTTCATAAAGGCCATCCACATTGCAATTTATCCTGGCTACAAAAAAACTGAGAATATATGCCTTTTCTACATGTATACCCACTTACAAATATTAATTTTTGTTTTGGTTTTTCCATACAGTTTCTGTGTAGCCCTGACTGTCCTAGAACTCATTCAATAGATCAGAGACCCACCTGCCTCTGCCTCTGGAGTTCTGGGATTAAAGGGGTGCGCCACCACCGCACCACTAAACATTTGTGAGTGCTTGGCCTGCACCTATGTCTATGCATGCATGCCAGTGCCCTCAGGGCCAGAAGTGTTGCATGCCCTGATCAGGAGTCAGATTGTGAGCTGCCACGTGGGTTCTGGGAATTGAACCCTGGAAGGGTTCTCTTGAAGACCAATCAGTGCTTTCTCAACTGCTGAGTCATCTAGAGTACACACAGTATGTTTTCTTCAGTTAACATTTTAAGCATTTCTCCTAATTGTGAAAGATACTGGTACTTTCTGAGGGTTTTTTTTTTTTTTTAAAGACAAGAGTCTTACTAGGTAACTCTGGCTGTTCTGGGATTCACTATGTAGACAGCCTGTCCCTGACTCTCAAGTACAAGGTATGTGCAACTATATCTAGCATGATTTTGTATTCTTAAACATAAGACAATTTTTTCTTTTAACCAGACAATGCTGTTGTTCCTAGATTTGCTAAGGTAGAGGTGTAAGAGTTATTACACTTTCCAGGTTGGGGAGACAGCTCACTGATTGAATGTATTTTATTGTTCTTCCAGAGGGTCAGAGTTTGATTCCTACCACCCACACAGTGACTCACAAACATCTCTAACTCCAACTTTTGGGGAACCATCACCCTCTTCAGGCTTCCACAGGCATGAGACAAGCAAGTGGTGTACAGACATATATGCAGGCAAAACACTCACACACGTAAGGAAAACTAAATTACCACCTTTTAAAAGAATAGAATTTTATTTTTTAAAAATAATTTTAGACGATTTTCAATGTAAATCAAAAGTACAGGGAAGCACAAAAAATTCACATTTTGACATTTTTTTCTTTTAGAAACAGGTAAACAGGATACCAGGAATACATATATACAGGCAAAAACACCAATAAAATTTAAATAAAAACGAATAAATATGTAACATAAAAAATGTTGCTCTGCATAGTTAATGATCAGACTTTCACTTAAATATAATATAGTCACCCATTTTCCTACTGTCCTGGGAAAGGCAGTAGTATGTCAGCAGAACCACAGTTCCAGGAAGGGAGCAGCTCTGCCTGGTCACAGGAGTTGCAGAACCATTTGTGGAGAAACACAATCTGATCAGCCACCTCCTGCTGCTGGACATGAGGCGTGTTTCAAATCTTCACTCTTGGATAAACATTCTTGAACAAAAGCCTCCTGAGTAGCTCTGATGCCTTTTGTAGACTCAGTTCCCAGAAGTGAAATTTACTGGGCCCAAGGATATACCTCTGAAAACATTTCGAATAGTCACATAATTTCCTAAACTTTATCTGAGAGGTAGAGAGGATACAATCTGGGACTATGTCCAACAATGTACACACCCGAGGCCAGCACTTTACATCATCTCCAGCAGAGTATTAGGGTGCCAGTTCCCCTAGCTCTACTGTCCATACAGCGATACCATACCAATTATACTACCTATGCTACATTTTTATCCTTTGACAAGCGACGAAAGTGCTTACTTAAAAACAGTACTTCCCATTGACTCTTCTCCTTGGTGTCAGGCTTGTTTCTGGGGTCTTGTCTTTGGGTGTAGTTTCTTAGGAGGCCAGTCTTGTTCTGTCAAGGTGCAGACCTTTAGGTCCTATAGCAATTCAACTTTCTAACCTCGCACTCACACATAATCTTTTAATTCAATTCAAGAAATTTATTCCCAAAGTCTCACTTTATTTTTGTATTCAAGTGTTTTGTCTCACATATCAATGTGTGTCACATGTGGAGTTAGGGACCAGAGGCCACTGAGAGGGGGTTGGATCCCCTGGAACTGAACCGGGGTCCTCTGCAAGAGCAAGTGCCCTTAACTTCGGAAACTTCACAGAAGCTTTCTGTGTCAACTCACAGTCACTTAGAAATGGCTTGCAGACAGCGAGCAAATGAGCTGTGTTGCCGTTTGTGGGCCTTTATTACTGGAGCTCATGATGGAGACAGGTCCCTGTCCTTGGCTAGCCTATTTGCACTTGCTCCTAAACACAGGCCAATGCCTTTATCTGTTTTAACGGTAAGGATAAACTTTGTTAGATTTACTAAATGACAGCTTGTTGGTTTCAGGTGGGTCACAATTAGTGAACACTGAAGAAAACTTAAGGAAAAATTCCCAAGGGTGAGTTTCATAAAAATTTTATGAAACTAATTTTAAAATCCAGCTTACATAAATGATTTGTGTTAATTTTTGCTCCTTACAAAAATGCTATACCTGTTACTGTATGAACTCAATAATCACATGCAGATAATTAGAGGATGGGGCAGGGCAGAGAAAGAAGGAAATTAAGCAAATCACACTACAGAGAGCAGGCAGAGGCATGGCTTCCAGCCAGCCCTAGTCTCCCAGACTAACAAGCATACCCCATTTGTAGAAAGGAGCACCAGACTCCTTTTTACAAAATATCAAATGCCCCCATGGAGATGACATTAAATTTACAACACCAGTGACTGGACTGTTACAGAATGTTCTGTTACAACAGCCACAATAGTTAGGTGAGAAATAGCCAGAGGCTTCAATAGCATTAACAATATAGCCAATAAGGAAAAAAGTGAATCCCTGATACATCAAAGACAGATATGAATCTTTTAATTTCAGATGGAGTGTTTATTCTTGGGGAAAACAGTTAACAAAACACCCTAGAGACTTTTAGTTCATTAAAAAGCCACCAGGAAGAGTTTGGAAACATAAGGACACAGAGACTACTGTCCCCTTTCCTTTGGTTTACATATATTTATCTCTAAGTAAAAGCTACAGCTGTGACTACTTTCTTTACAGGGCCACTGTGATGTTTGAGAATCATGTAGCTCAGGCTAGCCCCGAACCTGTTATGTAGCTGAAAATGACCTTGAACTTAGTGCTAGGGCAGTCCTGCACTACCTGACTTATGTAGTACAAGGCATTGAACTCAGGACTTAGTGTATGGTATGCATGCAAACTAGTGATAACTCCAGCTCCTGGGAACACTTTAATTCCATTGTTTTCATGTGCATAAGATTCCTCTGAGGGCAGAGAAAGAAGAGCGAAGAAAGAACTCAAAAAATTTGATGACCAGGAGGGGTTAGGAATTCTGGTTGCTGGTTCAGAAATCTGCTGCCAGGAGGAAGACACTATTCCCTATTAATAAACCTTGAGGTAGTGACACACCACAGACTCAACTCCTTCCTCCTGTGGAGATAACATCAGAGGATGAGAAATCCAGGTGGGTCATTATTACACCTACGAGGTATGACAACCACATTCCTGCTTGTACCAAGCTGGAACTGGACTCAGCAGCATGTCGGGTAACTTCTTCCCTGCCCCTGTGTGCGGCTTGCCTTGGGGCTAGAGTGCATGGTAACACAAGCCTGCCTGAGTAAGAATCTAATCTTTAAGCCTTAGTTAGGTATCAGGATTTAGCCTCGCCCGTTTTACTGGGCTATTCTGGTCATCCAGATGGCACATGCCATCTGTAGTAATGTCTCTTTTTGTCTCCTCCATGGGTTCTAAAGGGAAGTTCTGGCCTGCGGCCAGTACCTGTCTGACAGTCATATTAACTCGGGCAGTTTTCAAATAGGTGGCACACACCTGCCAGTCTTCTGCAGAACAGGGCTCAACTAGTGAATCACTAGGGAGGACAGCTGGGAGAGGTGTCTCCAGGCAGTGAGGCAGGCATTCCCCATCAGGATGTGGAAGGACTCGAGGGACTGCATGATTTAACAGGCGACTGAAACCCGACATCACCATGATGTCACCACTGTGCATAAACATGGCTGTAGGGGCCTCATCTCTCTGGAGGCCACCCAGGAGAAAGATGGCAGACTGTCCAAAGCTACAAAAAGTAAAAACAGAAGTTTCTGTTATTAGTTACACCCATAAAAGTTACTGTGGACTGCATTCATTTCCATTTCAGCCCGACACTGACTGAACTCAGGCTATGAATCTGTGGTAGGTGCCTTCCCTTGCCAAGCCACCTCAAGACCCTTACTTACTTCTGATCTGTGTGTGCTTGTGTGGAGGCCAAAGGTTAATGCTGACACCTTCCTCCATTGTTCTGCCATCTTTTGTCTTTGATGACTTACTTTTATGTGTATGCGTATTTTATCAACATGCCTGTCTGTTCACATGGGGGCCTGGTGTTCCAGAGCCAGAAAAGGGAAGCAGATAGCCTGGACTGGAGTTACTGATGGTTGTGAGCCACCATTTAGCTGTTGAGAATCAAACCTCAGTCATCTAGAAGAGCAGCAAGTGCTTTAACCACTAAATCACCTACCTAGACCTGCATATTTCAATTTTATTTTTTATTATCGTTTCTGTGAGTGCATCTAACAGGGGTGTGAATATGCTATGGAGCATACATGGCAGTCAGAGGACATTTTGGAGTTCTCTTCTACTGTGGGAACTGAGCATCAAATTTAGGCCATCAGGTTTGTTAGGGAAATACTTTTGCCCACTAAGCCATCTTACTGACCCGTCTTATTAAGATTACTCTACCTTTTAAAAATTACTATGCTTCTGCCACAGTACACGAGTGAGAGAAGTCAGGATGACTGCTGGAGTTGGTTCGCTCCTTTCACCACGTGGGCCCGAGATTAGGCTGTAGGTTTGCAGCAAATTCCTTTACCTGATGAGCCAGCTCATAGGCCTCACCTTATTGTGTTTCTGGACAGGATCTGTCACTGAGCCTGGAATCCAGGATCCACTGTCTCCTTCCCCTACCTGCCCCCAAGCACTGGGACTAAGGCATGTTCTGCCTGTATGCCTGGAGTTTACATGGGTCAATGGTGATGGTGGTGGGGTCTGAACTCAGGTTCCCACACTTGCTACCTGCAGCAGGTTACTTAATCAAACAAGCCACCTGCTCAGTTTGAAAGTCATCCCTTGCCGGGCGTTGGTGGCGCACGCCTTTAATCCCAGCACTCGGGAGGCAGAGGCAGGCGGATCTCTGTGAGTTCGAGGCCAGCCTGGACTACCAAGCGAGTTCCAGGACAGCCTCCAAAGCCACAGAGAAACCCTGTCTCGGAAAAACAACAACAACAACAACAACAACAACAAAAAAAAACCAAAACAAAAACAAAAAAAGAAAAGAAGAGAAAGTCATCCCTTTTAAACTATTCTGGCTTGAGTTTCCCAGTGACCAACCCATGATCTGCTCCCCATACATTATTATGACAGCCCACAGACCTGCTACAAAATAAATTGTGATGCAGCAGATATGCAAAGCAAGAACTGCATTTCAACACTGTCTAAGTTTTACTGATGCACCTTTTCTTTTAAAATTTCAGTATTTCAATAAAATCATGAGTCATTTTACTATGTTTCTAATTTCTTCATTTCAAGAGATTGTTCTCATTATAAAACTGAAATCTTTACTAATTTTAGTTTAAAAATGTCTTAGGGAGGGGCTGGAGAGATGGCTCAGTGGTTAAAAGCACTGACTGTTCTTCCAGAGGTCCTGAGTTCAATTCCCGGCAACCACATGGTGGTTCACAACCACCTTGAATGAGATCTGGTGCCCTCTGCTGACATGCAGGCAAAAGACAGTATACACAATAAATAATTTTTAAAAATGTCTTAGGGAAAACAACAACAACATCAAAAAACCAACCCCCCAAATCCCTGGAATTAAGTTACCTGAAGGATAGCAAGGGTTTGGAGTGATCTAGTTCAGATCTGTCCACATGGATCCCCAGTGTGGAGTCTAGGCGGTAGTAATTCAGGATACCTGCTTCTGCTTGGAAACCCTGAAATCCACAGGCAGCAGCGACTTGCTCTGAGAGGAAAGCCAGGTCAGAAGGGAAAGGTGTATAATGATCTGCTGTGTATTTCTTTGGTAAAAGCAGAGAAAATAAGGAAAACAAAAAACAATGATCTCAGAACATAGAAAACTGTGGTATAAAATCCTCTAAGTCACTAACTACTATTAACACAGACACTTTATTAAGCTTTCCACTCCATCACCAGTGGCTACTACTCAAGAAAATGTCTCTTTTGTCCCCAGGAATCATATAGAACCACAGGGAGGGGTGGGGTTCTGTGAGATCCTCCTTCTAAGGGTTGTTTTTATTAAAAGGAAACCCAGTACTATAGTTAGCTTGCAACCTGACTTAATACCTGTCTGCCTGGTCAATCCAATAGGGTGAAATGCTCAAAACACCTGCATTAAGTCTAATCAGAACCAAGGCAGGACTGCCTTTTCCAGCCATTTGTATCCTTAATTTCCTTCCTTCTTAAAAGTCTTTTTGAGAGAGGATTTCTCTGTGTTAACCGCTCTGACTGTTGTGGAACTTGCTCTGTAGACCAGGCCTCAAACTCACAGAAACCTGCCTGCCAGTGTTGAGATTAAAGGCGAGAGCCACCACTGTCTAGCCTGTTTTTTAACATCCATGTTCCACCAGAATGACAAGTCCACCACTAGGAGTTGGGGCTGTGCACATCTGCAGAGGCTGGATGCTTCTTTGCTTTCACTTCTTCCTGTGCTAATTTAAACTAAAATCTTATCAGAAAACCTAATTTTTGTCTTAAAAGTACACCAGCATTCTGGTGCAGCTAGTTGAACCAAGTCAGAAAACTGGCTAGAGTAGTAGAACCAATTGTAGGTGCAAAAACACCACACCAAAGAAACAAAAAATCTTTTCTGTAGGGGGGGAGTCTATGTGGATGGCCTTCCTTGTTTGGTTGGAACTTCTGTTTTTAGTGTTTTTTCTTTTAAATTTACTCAACAGCATGTAAGAAAGGTTTCTTTTTTTTTTTTTTTTTTTTTGGTTTTTCGAGACAGGGTTTCTTTGTAGCTTTGGAGGCTGTCCTGGAACTCACTTTGTAGACCAGGCTGGCCTCGAACTCACAGAGATCCGCCTGCCTCTGCCTCCCGAGTGCTGGGATTAAAGACATGCTCCACCACCGCCTGGCTCCAAGGGATATTTAAAGGAGGCAATATACCATAGCCACTCCCTTAAACGGTCCATTCATGCTCCTGACAGCCTTTGCTATGGCAGTAGTGTTTCAAGTTGTTCAGGAAGAAACCCAACTACATGGGCCCAAGAACCTATAAATGTAAAACAAATACCTTACTGTCCCAGTTATAATGGTACCCCAGGGTGACCCAGCGCAGTCTCTCTAGTAAACTTCGGGGTCTCCGTTTATTCACCTCTTTAGACCTGTAAAAATTGTAAACAAGAGAATTTAGTCATCTTAAACGACATCAACAATCCTTTCTAAGTCTATGCATTTAGTCTAAGCTGTTAACCACGGTTTGATAAGCAGGCTGACATTAAGAGTATTAAGACCAGAAATGAAGAGCTTTGTTTTTAGAGTCAGAATCTTATAATGTAGCCTAGAATGGCCTCAAATTCAAGCAATCTGCCCACCTCTGCTTCCTGAGTACTAGAATTAAAGGTGGACACCACCGTTCCTAGCTTGGAATAGAGGTGCAAGCATCCAACCAATCTTTGTCATTACCTAAAATAATTTCCAATGTTTTCAAAAACCCACAGCTCTAATTACTGGATTTCACAAGAAAGAGAAACATGTTACACCCTCTGTCCTCGCTGCTTCCTCCAGGAATTAGCAGGGTGATGGATGGGTGGCTGGCCACTCTCTGCCCTGGCCAATGTGCTCACACAGCAGTTTTCTGTGTTTATCATGGCTAAGTAAGTGCTTTATGTAAGTGTAGGCATTTTTCTCAGCAATCATGTTATAATATCATTGCTTTCAAGTGAACCCTAATTGTGTGGAAATGAACTGTCCAGTTGTCCACTCTACATTTTCTTCCCTTATAAAGCCACTAACCTATGACAAAACAATGTCAGCATCCTACTGTAAGGTTTTTTTGTTCATTATTTTTAAATATTTAAAGATTTTATTTTTTATATTATTTACTACATATATAGTGTTCTGCCTGCATGTATGCCTTCATGACAGAAGAGGGCACAACAGATGGTTGTGAGTCACCATGTGGTTGCTGAGAATTGAACTCAGGACCTCTGGAAGAACAGTCAGTGCTCTTAACGTCTCAGCCTCTCCAGCCCTTGTTCTTTACTTTTATTTTAAGGCACGGTAACTATCTTTCTTAACTATTTCCTCAGAGACCACAGCTTTTATTCAACCTTCCTTTCCATTGAACTTGGTCTTTAAATTTTAAAAAGATTTATTAATTTTATGTGCATGCATGCTCTGTCTGCACACGTTTGTGCATCATGTGCACCTGGTGTCCCTTTAGCTCAGAGAGGGTGTCAGATACCTGTAGTGAGATATCTACCCCGCTCACACCTGCAGTGCTGACCATGCCAGTTTGGGCACGGTCACAAGTGCAGATGTGATGGGTGGGTTTAGGTCTGGGGTTCGGACAGGTGGCTGGCTCTTTCTTGTCACAGAGGGCAGCTAGGGTTAAACAGTGGAGCTGAACTTGTCAAGGTCACCTGCTTCTTGTGTAAGTGCATCCTCCCTGAATAAACTTCACTTAACCTGTACTGAGTCTTGTTAAGCTTGATCCCCACACAATAGATACCCTAGAACTGGTTTAATGGATGGCTGCTAACTACCATGGGTGCTGGTGCTAGGACTAGAACCTGGGTCCATCAGAAGATCAGCAAGTGCACTGATTCACTGAGCTATCACTTTAGCCAGGCCCAAACCTGATCTTTAATTTTCTGTCTCCAGAGCTATGTTCAGTTTTAACCTGGATCTCTTAAGCACAGTGAACATTTGGTGTGGCCATAGTTGCTAACATCCCTTTGCCTTACTCTTCCAGCTTCTGCTTTATACCGTTATGCACTTCAGCCTCTCAGCTTTGCCCATGTCTGTAAGGTGAACGACAAACACAGGTACGATCAAACGACACAGGCAAACTTTTACAGGCCTCACAATACGCTAAGCAGTCTTCTCCCTGACTCCCCTACTCATACTATACCCTATTACCTTGATAAGCCGTTAATAAGCCTTTCTCCACTGAAGATCTTTCTTCTCACACATTCAACCCACCCTCTGTGACTTGTCCCCTCCTCCTCCTGTTTTATTTTATTTATTTTTTAAAAAAATTATGTTCATGTTTATGTGCCTTTGGAAGTCAGGTGCTGATCCTGTGGATCTGGGGTTGTGGGTGATCATGAGCTTGGATTCTCTGCAAGAGCAGTACGTGTTCTTAATTGTTGAGTCATCTCTCCAGCTCACCAACCAAAATTTTAAAAGGGGAACAAAAGGGAAAGGACTAATTCTGGTTCTACTTGGATAGAATAAATGGTAAAGTTTTCACTCACAAAAAATAGAACCTACACATAAAAACCAAAGCTAAGCTGCTGTAGTTAAGAGTTACATTTTCTCCCCTTATACTTTTATTTTGAGACAGGCCTGTCTGCTTACTCTTGGCTGTCCAGGAACTCTCTATATAGACCAGGCTGGTCTCAAACCCAAAATCTGGGTTTGAGGGTATCCGCTTGTAATTTCAGCACTTGGGACCACAGGCAGGAGAATCAATCAAGTTTGAGGGCAGCCAGGGATATTTAAGTGAGTCCTTGTTTAAGAAAATTTTTAAAAAAAAAATATAGCAAGAACAGGGCAGGGCATGGTGGCACACACCTTTAATCTAATCCTAGCACTTGGGAGGCAGATGAATCTATGAGTGAGGCCAGCCTGGTCTATAGAGCTAGTTCCAGGACAGCCAGGGCTACACATGGAAATCCTGTCTCAGAAAACAAACAACAAAACAAATATAGCAGGAACAGCTAGTACAAAGAACCTAAGCAGGCCTGATGTGTTTAAGGAACAGCACTGCAGGCTAGGGTAGCTGTAGAGAAATAAATGATAAAGAACAATTGGAAATGAATTATATGGAGCCATATCAGATTACCTAGGTCTTACAGGTTATAATTTTAAATTTCTAAAAACACGATAATGCCAAGCATAGGGTCACACACTTTTAATCTTAGCATTTGTGAGGCAGATGCAGGAGAATATCTGTGAGTTCAAGATCAGTCTAGTCTGATAGCAAATTCCAGGACTACACAGAAACACTATATCAACCCCCACCCATCCTCCACACTCACCCACCCAAAGCCAAACCCATGATGGTGTCATATAACAAAGGATCTGACTAGCCCTTTGCTTTGGTTCTGGGAAGGCAATTTCTTTTTTATTCCTGTTCCTGGGGATAAAAACTCAAGAACCTCATGCATGTTTGGCAAATCCCTGAGCTACACCCAGCCTAAACCCTTAGAATTTCCTGATAGCAGTCCCACTGTTAATCATGGTAGCTCCTTGTATCACACATGGGTTTATGCTAAGGAGCGATGATTTAGGATGTTGGCTACATGTGATTAGAATGAAGTTTACGTCAATTGGTATTAGTTGGATCTCCAGAGTGGGCGGTACCTCAACACTTCAATCACATGGCTAATGGCTTACATATATTCAGGTTTAAGTGCCCCCTTCTATGTATGTGGATGAGCATGGAGGCCAGAGGTCAACTTGGGAGCCATACTATGGAGGTGTCTACCTCTTTTTTATTTGACAGTATCTCTCTCACTGAAGCACAGGGCTCACTAATTAGACCAACAAATGAGTCTCCCAGGGATGTCTGTTTCCCTTGTATTGGGATTATAAGTAAGTGCCACTATGTTTTTTCTTTTTCTAATGTGGGTATAGTTGTCAGGCAGTGTTGGCGCATGCCTTTAATCCCACACCCAGGAGGCAGAGGGATCTCTGAGTTAAGGCCAGCCTGTTTAGCACTTTACCAAGTAAGCTATCTCCCCAAGCTCCCCAAACTCTCTTTGTTGAGACAGGGTCTCTCATTGTCCTGGAACTTACCAAATATGCTGGTGAGCTCCAAGAATTTGCCTGTTTGTGCCTCCTCAGTGCTGAGATTACAAGTAGGCAAGGCCATGTCTGTTTTTTTTCCTCTCCCTTTTAATTAAAACAAAACAAAACACATGGGTTCTGGGAAACTGAACTCAGGTCATGAGTCACCTACCTAGAGTACATGACTAATGATTTAACCAGTAGTGACTATACAACAAAATGCACTCCCCCAAAATTCTGAACACTAAAACTTGGGAGCGCACTAGCTGGTAGAAACACCAATGTGTTATGAGGAAAGGGCACACAAGGCATTACACCCTGGCCTCACAGCCTTAACTTTGTGCCACTGGAAGCACAGCATTTTCCTGAGTTCTAGGGGCTGATCTAGTGAATCACAGTACAAGGGGTCACGAAACCCCCCAAATCTAAAATCAGTGGTTTTAAGTATGAGTAGCCTACAAAGACCCCAAACCAGATGTCTGAAGTGAAGTTTGTGCAAACTCTGCATGGCTTCATCAGAACTAAACTCCAGATGAGAAATTGTGACAAAAATGACACGACTTCTACATACTATGCAGGAAAAGTTTGAAAAGGGGTAAAAAGCAGATTGACAATGGTAGTTGGGTTAAGTACAGTGGGAAATGATAGCTTAATCTGACTCTAATGCCTACTTTGTCTCCAAGAGATAGATTTAAGGTCTTTTAATGGCTATAACTACTTCTGGGGCAGGCCATGACTGAGTAATCCGGTCTCCTGATGATGAACAAGGGGCTTGCACTTTCTGCACACACCCCCATACCACACTGAAGAATAAGGGACTAGATAAGCGCTCAGCTATACTCCCAGCCCTCACTGCAGTTGTGTATAAGATTCTCTAGCTATACCTTCCCAGAACAACACACAGAACTGAAATGCAATCATTTGGTCAACTCCCATTTTTCTAGTCCATTCATATACTACATCTTCATTTCCTATTTAAAATGGCCATAGAGATCTAAGGAGATAGAAGCTGAAGGATCCTAAGACCCTCTTCCTGGTTCTCAATGTGGAAGAATGTTGGGGACAATCAGAATCTCCAGGGGGTTGGGGGGGGTGGAAGGAGCACCCAAACAGTAGACCCTCTCTACTCTAACAGACTTTGCAAGTGGAGAGTTTCACGTATTGCTCACAGGACTCTGACAGACCATGACTCAAACACCTGGGCGGTTTATCCCACCCAACACCGTTATTTCCCATGTGAGGAAATGGAAACAGATCACATAGTGACACAGGATGGGAACCAGAGACCGAATTGATTCTCAGTGCTGCCAGCACAATGTCTCAGACTATCAGTTTCTTTCAGCCTTGACAACATAAGGTATAATTACCACCATTTTTACTTTTGCTAATTTATTATACAAAAAAAGTATCTCCTCATTGTCTATTGAAGGATATATTGGAGGCTCATGTGAGCTATCTTAGAAGGCAGCTGTGGTTTCTATAGTCATATTATCAGAAGGCAATTATTTGAAATTATCAGAATTATTTGAAAACACAGTCTAATTTTTGTTTTAAACAGAACCCCATCTTTTTTTTTAAAATATTTATTTATTACATATTCAATGTTCTGCCTACATGCCAGAAGAGGGCACCAGATTGAATTGCAGATGGTTGTGAGCCACCATGTGGTTGCTGAGAACGGAACTCAGGACCCCTGGAAGAGCAGTCAGTGCTCTTTATCTCTGAGCATCTCTCCAGCCCTACAGTCTAACTTTATTCAGTCAAAGTGCTTCCCTAAAGGTAGCACTAAAAGCTGAAGAACAGGGAAGGTTACTTGCTTCTACATCCTACATACACCTTAAGCCATAGATGTAGGAGGCTTTAAAGGAAACCCACTAAATGTTAGTTATTCTTTCTCCTTTGAACCTTTGCATTCCCTCCATTAGAATCAGCCTGACAGTTTACAGAATGAACAGCAGATAGGAGATAGACCACCAAGAGGATATATTTTCAACAAGCATCTTTTAATGATTTCTCACATATGCTCACAGAAATCAAGGAGGAACTGTTAAACAAAACAACTTGCCCCAAGGTTATCTAGCTACTACCTGGGAGGACAGGCGATCGGACTCCAGAGCTGGTGCTCTCCACTGTTAAACCCTGTACAATTTTGTTCTACTCCATCCACCATGCCTACTTACCGTATTGTCTATCCTATCCACGACTTCCAGCATTTTCTATAAATTATTCCAACCTTTCCATGCAAGTGACCATTCTCACGATAAAGCGTAAATTCTAAACTTGTAACTGCCAACATGTCTATTTAAATGTCTTTATTTGTCACATTTTCACAGAAATTATATTGTTTTTGACTTTCCCCTTTAGAACTGAAATAAAGAAACAGGTTAAATATCCGCACTCTCCAACATGAAAACTGTCTGGTGACAGAATGTTGGAGTACTGCAATTCACCCAGCTACTGATTAAGCTGGTTAGAACTTGCATGAACTCCAATTACTCTCGCATACGCTGTCCCCCTTGCCTGGCCACGAGCTGGATCAGGCAAGGTCTACGGATATGCCTGGGAAATGTTTCCTATCTTCTTTGGAATCTCTAACACTCCAACGCATACACCACGTGCTGCTCCTATTTCTTAGAACATACTGTCTTAAACACTATCTCTGCTCTGTTTGATGAGTACTCCTAACCAGACCTTTTACTATTCCGAACGGCAAATCCCTAATCATTTTGAAGAGTGGGGGTAGATCAATAGATACAATTCTTAAAAATTGTATTAAAAAAAAAATCACCCTTTCTTCTTGGATACTTCATCCTGTGTTTCCCACCGTTAAAACATTTTCTCACTCTATTGTAATTACTTCTGTACCTAATTCCAAGCCTAAGGAAAGTATCTTCTCTGTTTAAGTTTTGTGTCTCCAATGCCCAGCACCATGCTTAGTACCCAACTGATTTTTCCAATGAGTATTTGTGGAATGAATGCTGAAGCATCAAGATCCAAACACTAGCTCTTCCATGAGCAACAACTGACCCATCATAAAAGAGCTAGCAGCAGCAACTCCACGTAGATAACTTTCCCCACGAGTCTTTAAAAGAACACTTTGAACACAAACAGATCATGTGAGGATGAATGTGGATGAACTCAGATTCTAAGCTATGTTAAGACTCTAATGGATCTCATTTAATATAACTGTCAAAGCATCTGTTCAAAGGTTCTCAGTAAGATAAGTTCTGTTAAAAAACCAATGCGTCAGCCGGGCGTTGGTGGCGCACGCCTTTAATCCCAGCACTTGGGAGGCAGAGGCAGGCGGATCTCTGTGAGTTCAAGGCCAACCTGGTCTACAAGAGCTAGTTCCAGGACAGCCTCCAAAGCCACAGAGAAACCCTGTCTCGGAAAAAAAAAAAAAAAAAAAAACACCAATGCGTCCACTTTTACAGCATTTGTTCAGTTTCTCCAAGGCTGCTTAGACTTACCTTAGGAACTCTTTGCTCTGCTCCCATAGACTTTGGGTCTCTTCTCTAATCATGTGTTTGTCCAGGTTACACACATTAGGTTTCTGGGAGTACAACTTAAGGCACTGTTTTATCCAGTGCCACTGGCATCCTGGGAGGAATGGGTTTGGGATGAAAATAAATCCTATAAAAAGAAGATGGGGGGGGGCGTTTTCAATTGTTCTGTTTCTTTTTTCATATTCTTATGCCCACGATTCTGTCATGTACTTCCCATATCCATTGGTTCTGCTTAAAGTTAATGAAAAACCAAGTTTGGATGAACAGGAGACATCATGTAAATATCTGACTTTTTGGGGACACCTTCAAGAGGAACAAATAATTCCCAAGATTAGCTAGCTGTCAATGGTGCTTTTTTTTTTTGGTTTTTCAAGATAGGGTTTCTCTGTATTGTTTTGGAGGCTGTCCTGGAACTCGCTCTGTAGATCAGGCTGGCCTTGAACTCACAGAGATCTGCCTGCCTCTGCCTCCTGAGTGCTGGGATTAAAGGTGTGCGCCACCAATGCCCAGCAATGGTGTTGTCTTAAGGCAACTTTAGAACTGAAAGTTCATCCTTAGGTTTTTACCAGGTACCAATTACAGTCACACAAGACTCCTCCAAGTCTGTTTCCCTTATTGCAGGCACAGAAAGCTACTCTAATACTTGATTTAATTAATCATAGGTCTTCATCTAGTAAACAGAACATCAGTCTACTCAAATCCTAGGGGTTGGATAGGCCGGCATTTGTTGCACATATATATGCATGTAGACAAAAGTCATACATATTAAATAAAAATAAATATACCCTGGGGCTGCAAAGATGGCTTAGCAGTTATGAGTATATTCTGCTGTTGCAGGAAATGGGTGTTTGATTCCCAGTAACAATGTCTGGTGGCTCATTTGTCTGTAACTCTGGTTCAGTGATGTGGCATCTGCTTCTGAGCTGCTCTATTCTTTGGAAGCGTTAAACAGGTAACTCAGAGAAGGCACAAACAGGCCACACTCCAAGGTGGGGGCATTAGTGTGTGCTCAGGCACATGTCCTTTGTCTATCTATTCACCACTCACTCATTCCTAGGAAATCAATGACTGTACTTACCAGGGTAGCCTTCAAGTCCATAGGCCTGCCACTTGCTCACAGGCTGCAGTCCTGCCCTACAGGCATCATGTTCAGTCACTGAGGACACATTCAGATGAAATCTGACCACCTGAAAGAAGGAAACTTAAGTCAGGTGAGCCGACTTGGAGGTTAACCCCAGGAACCTCAGACCTCCAGACAGTTTGACTATAGGTCTTATTATTAGCCCTCCCACCTATTTGACCTATGGTCTTAGTTTCCTCATCTACATTATAACACATGTCATATAGTTCTGCAAAATTAAGCAAAGTGGTAATAAGATAATTAGACTAAACTGGTTTGGGCTTTTTTTTTTTGACTAAGAACAAACCTTTCTTATGAGAACACACTTCAGTAATTCCCCGCCCCCAACAGGGTTTCTCTGTCTAACAGTCCTAGCTGTCCTGGCACTCACTCTGTAGACCAGGCTGGTCTGGAACTCACAGAGATCCACTTGCCTCTGTCTCCCACTGTGATTAAAGGTGTGCACCACCAATGCCTGGCAGGAATTCAATAGGATTCATGAAAAGTGTTCCCTATCTTGGAATACCTCAGGTCACTAGTCTGCTTAGTGCTAAAACACCGCTTCTGTGGCATTTGTTACAGTTAGCAAAAGGAAAGTATCAGCCAGGAGCAGGCTGAGAAAATGGAGAGTTCTCTAACCACAAAGAAAAACTTAATTCCACAAAACGCCAGGGCCCCATTTAATAATTATTTAAAAAAGAATTAGGAGCTGATGTCTTCTTTGCACATTAAGAGTAGCTTAAAAGCTGGGTGGTGGTGGCTCATGCTTTTAGTCCTAGCACTTGGGAGGTATAGGAAGGTGGATCTCTGAGTTCAAAGCCAGCCTGGTCTACAAAGGGTACTCCAGGACAGTCAAAGCTACAAAGAGAAACCCTGTCTTAAAAATTAAACTGAAATATTCGAACCCAAAACTAAAAACCCAAACCAAAATAGAAAAAACACTACTTCATTCTTCCACAAATAATGTGTCTTCCCTTAAAATACACTGGATATCTTTTTTTCCCCCAAGAGAAATGAACTTCTTTTGTGTTGTTGGTTTTTGGAGACAGGACCTCACTACATAGTCCTGGCTCTCCTGGAACTCTGAGATCTGTCTGCCCTCTGCCTTCGGGTGCAGGAACTAATGGTGTGTGCCACCACATCTGGCTTGAGAAATCTCCAAGTATGGAGATTTCCTCACAAAATTCCAAGAAGCAGGCTAACAACAAATAATTTCTTCCTCTGTGTTGCTGGGAAATTACTTCACCACAGCACTACATGTCCAGTCTACCACTCTTGAAAAAGGCTATCTAGAACCTTCTGAGAGCCTTGACTAGATTAAGTTTTCTAGTTACGTATGGCTGATAAAATATGTTGCCATTCTCCTCTCCTCCCTCTCTCCTTTTGGTTTTTCAAGACAGGGTTTCTCTGTGTAGCCCTGGCTGTCCTGGAGCTGTCTGGAACGGAGTGAGCCGCCACGTGGGTGCTGGGACTCGAACCCAGGCTCTCTGGAAAAACACAAATGTTCTTAGCTGCTGAGCCATCTCTCCGGGTCCATTTTTCTAGACCGGGCTTCCTTTGTTTAACAGCTCTGTCTGTCTTGGAACTCGCTCTGTAGACCAGGTTGTCCTCGAGCTCACACAGATCCGCCTGTTTGCCTCTCCAGTTCTGGGAATAAAGGCGTGCGCCACCACGGTCCGGCTTAGATTTTTTTTTCCCCTAAAAAATCCTTATTTTTCCCCTTATTTGACATTTATTTTCAACGTGGGTGGAGTATCTCAAAATTCCACAATGCCATTGTTTTAGTTAACATAATCGTTTGAGACTTTATTCGATGGTAGGGTTTATTTGAAGCCGTGGGGCCACCCTAACGCCCAAGAAACCTCGCGCAGGATTTTACACGAAACCCTGGGTTCGAGCGACTTCCAGGTTCTGCGAGCGAGGCCGTGGGGCTGGGGAGAAAATGGCGGCAGGAAGACAGGCGCGGCGCAGCGCTTTGGCGGCAGAGCCCGCCGGGGAGCAGCGCGGCTCGGCGCACAGCCAGCAAGGCTTCCCTCCTCACCCAGCCCGGAGGCAGAGAAGGCCCGGGAGGCCGACCAGGGCGCCGGGCGCGCGGCGGAGCGCGCACGACTCCTCCCTTCCTACCTTGGGCACGCCGGGCCTCGCGCTTCGGACCTCATGCGCCGTCGAGAAGTCGATGACCGCTCCCAGGTCCGCCGTCCCCCGCCGGCTCTGCCGGTAGAAGCGGAAAAGTTTCCGGAAGGCGTCCTCTCCGGGCTCCGCCGCCAGCGTGGCAAACGAGGCCACGGCAGCCGCCATCTTCCTCATCTCGAGGCTGAGAACGGTCTGACCCGGAAGCAGAACTCCGAGCTCGGGATCCGGTAGGTCCTTCCGGGGTCACGACCCCGGGGGCTCGCTTCATTCAGATTCTAACATGGCAGCTTCCGCCGTGGGTCGAGCCCTGGCCCTGCGTGCGCGTGGTGCTCAGCATGTTGCTTTCGTCCGCAGAATCCCTTGGACCGCGACGACCAGTGAGTGGTGGAGATGAGGAAGCGCGCAGTCTTTATGTTTAAGTAGCTCGTAAAGCCTCTGTGGAGGACCTAAGTCAGCACGGTAGATGGGTTAGGTCAGGCGGTTTGCCTTCGTTTGTTTGTTTTAATGAAACTCGCGTGTCATCCTTGCGCAGGGGTCGTGCTGGTCCCTTTTTTTTTTTTTTTTTTTTTTGGTTTTTCGAGACAGGGTTTCCCTGTGGCTTTGGAGGCTGTCCTGGAACTAGCTTGGTAGTCCAGGCTGGTCTCGAACTCACAGAGATCCGCCTGCCTCTGCCTCCCGAGTGCTGGGATTAAAGGCGTGCGCCACCAACGCCCGGCCCCTTTTTTTTTTTTTTTTTGAAGCGGGCACAAGTGGTTTGCTCTTGAGCAAGTCACTGCGAGGAAAATTTTGCTTCCGGTTAACTGTTTAGGGATGACCCCCTCACTGCCACCCCCAGGTTTTTTAGGGTGGGAATCGACCGTACCCAGCGAATTGGTGGAAAGATTTATTGTTTGCTTTCCTTGGACTTTTACGATTAAGAGGGAACTATTTTGACCTCAGGGGAGCTTGCTTTAAATTGGCAAGAACGTCGGGGTGAAGATGAGTAAAGATTTCCTTCCGTTCAAACATGAAAACTCGGAAGCATGTAGTTTTTCAAAATAAAATTGACAGCATTCGTGCTGGTTTTAGAAGAAAGGTGTGCATTCCAGATTCCTAGCATAGACTTCTGCTTTTAGAATTTAGGACGGAAAATTGTATATTGTGATTGAGAAGCAGACTCTGAAGTCAGATTGCCTGAGTTGGAATTCCAAACTACTCATTTTAATAGTTGTATATCTGAATTACTGAAGTTAATATGGGAAAGGGCCTTCTTACAAGAGATCCTGTTTAATTTTCTAAAAAGTGGATTAAGTAATACCTCGACATGGGAATGGGGATTGGGAAAATTAGACGAGTTCATATATAAACTCAGCAGATGTGTGCTAGAGTGTCAGTACTTAACTAGTAATAGTTATTTGCATGGTTGCTAAATTGAAGCATAGGGAAGAAGACTAGTCTGGTGACAGGGTAGTTAGTTCTAGAATCACTCACCAACTTTGATTTTTGTCAGCTGCAGTTTACATCTAGGTTTTATTTATGTGTGTTTAGGTCTGTGTGGACATGTGCAGGTGGATAAAGGTGCTCCATGTCGTACAGAAGAGGGCGTTGGAGCCCTGCTTACATGTGGACCTTTAGATCATGTACTGTGAACCTTTTGAGGTCTCACAGGGAGAGTATCGATTCTAGTATGAGTTCAGTAAAGTAATGCTCAGTGGAGGTATTTAGCTCGGCCTGGAAAACGTCTTATGATTTACATCGGAGGATATTAAGAGTAGTGACTTATGGAAGAGAACCACATATACGAAGATGGGAATCCACAGACAAGGACAGAGAGTTAACTTTGCTGTACTTGACAGCGCAGCCAGGGAAAGGAAATAAGGCAGGAAGCATAGGTAGAACTGATTGAAGAGAGTTAAGTTGAGATTTTATTTGGAAATCTCTGATGCATGTGGTAGGACATTGGGCTAAGGAGATTTATGCCCTCTTTTGGGTTTTTATTTACAATCTTTTACAAAGTATACAAGATACTTGAACTTATTTTATTATGCTTTCTTCTCACAGGTGAGCTGAGAGAACATTTTGCTCAGTTTGGCCTTATAAAAAAGTGTACTGTACCTTTTGTGAGTATTAAAACAATAGCAAAAACTATTGGGGACGGGATGGGGATATATCTCTATAGTAGAACACTTGCCTGGTATGTGCAAGGCTCTGGGTTTGATCCTCAGACTCAAGATTACCAGAAGAAAAAAAGTTATTAATTCTTGATTTCTTTTATATAAACATTGTACATTATCTAACACACACACTGCTTGCTCAGTCTGTATAGTTACTTGTGTGTATGTTTTCAGGACTGACTATTCAGTACTGGATAACCAGGTGGTGTGATCTTCCCTGAGGAAGACTGTTTCTCCTGCACTTAGCATTCCTCAGTTGCCTGTAATTATGTTTTGAGGGTTGGGGACTCTTGAGCCTCCTTTCAGGTTAGCATGTCTTTTGGTGCTGACCTTGTTCTGTGTATCATAGACATTTATGTTCTTTTTTTGATTTTTTGTTTGTTTTTTGAGACAGGGTTTCTCTGTATTGTTTTGGAGCCTGTCCTATAACTTGCTTTGTAGACCAGGCAGGCTGGCCTCAATCTACCTGCCTCTGCCTCCCAATTGCTGGGATTAAAGGCGTGTGCCATCAACATCTGGCCTTTTTTGGATTTTCAAGACAGGGTTTTTCTGTATAACAGCCTCCCTGCTGTCCTTGAACTTGCTCTGTAGACCAGGCTTGCCTTGAACTCAGTGAGATCCACCTGCCTCTGCCTCCTGAGTGCCGGGATCAAAGGCATGGGCCAGTGTCCTTCCACGCTTCCGAGGTAGTTGGCAAAATTTTATGAATTGTATTTACTTTTTTGTGTGTGGGTGTTTTGCCTGCATGTATACTTATGCACCATGTGTGTGCAGTATTCCAGAAACCAGAAGCCAGGACCGGATCTCCTGGAACTAGACTTAAGTCAGTTGTGAGCTGCCATGTTGGTGCTGGAAATCAAATTTAGGTCTTCTGGATGAGCAGCTGTGCCCTTAACTGAGCAATCTCCATCCTCTGGCAAAAGTCTTTAAACATTTGTATTTTTGAGATAAGACCTCACTGTGTAGCCCAAGCTGTCATCAAAATTACTATTCTTGAATTCACAATTCTCCTGTCTCAGTTTCGAGTGCCAGGCTTACAAGCATGTGCCACCATGTTCCAGTTTGGCAGCAAAGGAGTTTCTCTAGTGTTAAAATGGTCACATGTAACATCACACTGGTGATAGTCCATTTCCCTTTGCCATATAACCTGATTGGGGTGCTGTGTCTTACCGTCTTTGCCATACTTTATATTAAAATAAGTTACATTCCTGATTCCAGTTCTATGGTATGTAATGCTCTCTTCTATGGCATATATTTACACAGGCACCTACATACAAACATTAAAACAAAGCATGTGATGACAGAGGTAGTGGTGATGAGGTTCACTGGTCTCAGAAATGACCAGATGGAACTAAGTTTGGTGGTTTTTCTAGTTCCTAGTAGGTAGTTCATTAGAAACAGGAAGTCCGTTTCCTTTGACTAAAGCCATCAGTTTGCTCCTGAATCTGTTGATCAAATGCACTGCTACTGTGATCTACGGAAAGCTTTGTTCCTATTTCCTCTATTGCCAGTAGAAAAGCAGAGTAATGCTAGGATTTAGCTTGGGTAGCCAGGAGGGTGTGTATTGAGGGTTACCAATTATGTATTATCTGTGATCTTATTTTGCAAATTAAAAAGTTGATAATTTTATCTGGATGGAGTTCAGGAAACTTTACCAAGTTCACAGTTAATCTTTTTTCTATTATATTTTCATTTGTAGGACAGAGAGACTGGCTTTCACAGGGGCATGGGTTGGGTTCAGTTTTCTTCGGAGGAAGAACTTCAGAATGCACTACAACAAGAAAATCATATTATTGATGGAGTAAAGGTAAGCATTTCTGTTGATGTGTGTTCCATGTTGCTTTTTAAAGAGTAGCTGGTGTCTTATAAGGTCCATAAGGAAAAGCCATGAAGACCCCATTTTTGATGCTATGGATTGAACCCGAATGCCACATATATGATGAACACATGCTCCAGGGCTTCCATCCCCAGGTGGAAGACCCTTTGATAGCTTATCTAGGCATACGTTAACATAGAATAGTGGAGACAGCAATATAGGCAAACAGGTTGAAATCTTGCCTTTCCCCCTCTGATTACCAGAAGGAAGACACCAACCACTTGAGACACTGGTATGAGAGTCTAATAAAATGGTATTTGTGCAAATAGGGAAAATTCTGCTTTTAATATTTCTAAAAATCACTTTTCTTATAGTGCTTTTTTTCCCTCCACAGATCTATGTTCAAGCTAGGAAACAAAGGGTTTTGCAAGAGGCTCAAACATCTGATGAAGAGAAAGACTTCTGAGATGATTATTGTACTATCCATTAAATAAATGTAACTGAGACTTTTTCTAAATGTTTTTATTTGAAACAAGAGCTGCACACTGGGCAAGACCTTAGTTTCCCCACTGCCAGGTAAACAGCACAACAGGGCGAGTGCATTTGGTGGTATAGTTGCAGTATGTGCACATTTTGGGGTGATTTTATTCATAAAGTTCTTAAACAAAATATTACCCCTGGGTTAGTGAGTGTCACATACAAGAAAGTGGTCTTAATTCTATACGGGGCAGTATTTCCTATAAGTGCTGCATGATGGGAGAAGCACAAGCATAACCCATTCTTTAAAAAAAACTAATCCAAAGTAGAATATTCAACCCCATCTCCTGGAATAAAAAGTAGTGCTGGGATCTATCGCCCAGATTCATTTTTTGTCCTGATCATTTACAAAGGGTTTCCCAATGACTTGCATCATTGGGGCTGTGAATAAGAGTCCTTTGCTTTGAAGAGAGGCCTATCTATTCCTTCCTCCGCTTCTTGCCTTCATGCTCATGTTCCTTAGGGCGACTGCTGTCAGAGGGTCTTTTAGAACCACCATGCTGTTTGGCTTCTTCCAAAAATTTGTCCAAACCAAAAGGATCTTCCTCAAACTGAACTGGTCCCTCTCGGCCTCTCTGTCTGCGGTCTGAACCAGAGAACTCCTTATCAGGAACAAACCTGGGGGGAAAGAGAAGAGGTCATGAACGACTTTCGTTTTGCTGGTTTAACCAGGACAACCAACTGTCTGTCTTGGTACCTGTTAGTCTTTATCCTGGTTTCCAGGTCATCACCATACATGTCCTTGTCCAGATTTTTACTAGGCCTGTAGATACTTTGAGCCATATCTTTACTACCTCTCCAGGCCTGATCATAAACATTGTAAATTTCGTCTTCTCCACCTGCAAATCCACTGTCCATACCCTGTGGAAAAATAAATGACACTAAATAACAATACACACTTACCCAAAGCTGAACCTGAAAGCTTGTGAATATACAGATCACTTCCATGTTTTCAGATAATTCTCAAAATCCCAATTCCAACATTTAAAAGACACATAAACTTGTTCATACTAGAGTTCTTACCTAGAGACTTAGTATTAAATTAAGGTATTCATTAAAAATTTGATTAAGCTGGCTGTGATCTATATATCAGATGCCAGGATAGTCAGAGCTATATAAAACAAGCTGTCTCAAACAACAAAAGCTTTGACTAGCCTTAAGACAAAGGACACAAAGTTGCGTGTGTAGAGAAGGTGGGGTGGATCTGTGAGGAGTTAAAGAGAGGGAGTGAATATGGCCAAAAGTCAACTAACTGTATGCAATTCTCAAAAACTAAAATTGAAGGATTCTACTGTAGGTACTTGACAATAATGCTGAGAAATGTAACCTCGGCTGCCTGAGAACGTCACTATCAAAGCACAAGACAATTAGGTTCTCAAAGAAAAATCTTAAAAATTTCACCCAACTTTGAAAAGCTGTAAGCTTAAGGTTTTAAGAGATATATATAACCTTGAACTGCTTAAAGCATGGATGTAATAAAAAAAAGCTTTGGACTCAAAGCTTGAGTTTGAGGTCAGCCTGGCCTACAGAGTAAAGTTCCAGGTCAGTCAGGCCTACACAGAGAAACCCTGTCCCAGGCTGGCCTTGAACTCTATCTTCCTATCTAGCTTCTCAAATGGGCCACCATGTCCACCTTTCATTTTTGTCTTTAAGTAAAAACATACAATTTGCAAAATTTTCCTGTCATCACTCCACCCCTGGCTAGTCTAAATCCAACTCGGAGTACTTTACTCCAAGGAAAGACATCTGTACCAACATATAAGATAATCCTCTGGTTATCCTAGGAGTTTAGATCTTATAAGTTCCTCATACCTTGGTTTGGTTGAAGAGCCTTTGGTCATACTGAACTTCATTGGATGTACGAGGATTGGGTACACCAAGAGCAATGACTTCACTGATATCTCGATTTTCATTTCTCTGTAGTTTTGACCTATTTTAAACACACAATCATTAACTGAACACATTTTACAGACAAGACTGATATATGCAATATAAATGCAACCACTCTCAGAAGCACAGGAAATGAGTTATGTTTCTGTCTCATGAACATACATTTTTTGATAACTGTTACCAGCAGCTCTTAACAGCACTTCAGATGCAAGATTAGAAGGTAGGCAGGAGTCTACAATTAGGACCCATTAGCTCAAAAGAACATGCAACAGGCTGATTCTTGGATGCATCACACACCATCAGTCCTTTTCAGCAGGCCACACTCAGCTGTGACATAACTATATGTAGTAATTTTTATCCTACGAGGATCCTGAGGAAAACATGACAATGACTAGATTACTCTGTATGGCTTCTGACATTACATTAATTCCTCTGCTGTTTTAGTATGAATGTAATCGGCATCTCAATGAAACCATGGTAACTGTCACCACTTTACAAGATGCTCATGTCTTAAAATATTTCTGTAGACAATTTTATTTTCATCCAATTACAAGTTCACAGCTTTTCTCACAGCCACTTTACTGGTTTGAAAAGCCTTATTTCTGTACAGAGCCACTGTCCTTTACAATGTAGCAAGTCCAAGTCAATGACCATGTTGATACTTCTCTCATTCCTCTCTCTTCAACTGGGATTCAATTTCTTGACTAAACTTATCCAGAAAGAAGAAACATGCCAATTAAATAAGGACCCACCTCAGCAGAGATGATTTAAGATATAAGATCTAAACTCCTAGGATAACCAGAACATGGAAAATTGCTCATGCTGGAAGAAAATGTTTCACATTTGCATTCAGCCTGAACCCTGAATTCTACCTTTGCAGCACAGCATTTTCTAGACTCTGAAACAACAGAAGTCCTAGGGCACTGGTGTATTTCAAACTTCCCTGATTCCTACTTTATGTCCCCCATACTTATAATGGGTCCCACTTCATTTTGCTAAGGTTTTCCATTTGTAGAAAGCTCTGTTCTGAATTTTAAAATAAACTACTCATGGGAGTCCAGAATCTTCTTTCAAAACTTCTTCTCCTTCCAACTGTACTAGGTAGAGTAAGGATGCGGCTAAGGCTATGACAGCTGGTGTTCTGTCTACACACAGGCACGCCAGCTTATCCCACCACTTGAGTAGGAAAAGCACACACCCGAATAATTCTCTTCTCTCCTTTTGATCTGGATTCCCTTTTCCTATTCGGTCCATTCTCCATACTAAATACTAGGCCTACAAGGTGATGGAAGAGCAGGTTGCCTTCTAGGGAGAGTCACTTCTGTTAAGACAAAGTTAATCTCTAATTTATTACCAAGCTTGAGAACTCTCAGGCACAGAAATGTCCTTTTTCCTAATGTGCAATTATGGCAAGCAGCAATCTACCTCTTATCAGGAGCTGCCCTGGAAAGGTTCCGGTCGTGCTGTCTCTCTTTTCGCCTGTCATGACGGATTTCATCCCTTTCACGTGCTTCTCCATCCTCTGTGGACACAGTTGAAAATTACATCATCAATGCATTAGCTATTCATATTTTGCTTAAGAGGCTCTTTAACCTTAAGAAATGCCGTACTTTTCTATTTTGAGACAGGGCACCACATGGCCAATGCTAGCCTCAAACTCTGGATCTTCCTGCTCCCACCTCCCTGCTGCTGGGATATCAGGTGTGCACCACACTTCTCTGTGGTCACACTCAGCTTTAAAGGGTTACTTGCAGTCAGTTTAAATCCAATCAGTTTGTGGACTGTGGTCTCCTATGCCAGCTGCCTTCCACTTACTTGGAATGCACCTAAGTAGAAGGGGTGGAAGGAAAGGTGAGCCTACAGGTGCAGAAGAAAATTCAGTACTTGTAATTGTGTGTTTGAGACAGGGTTTCTGTGCAATAGCCCCGGCTGTCCTGGAACGCAGAGATCCGACCGCCTTTGCCTCCTGAGTGCTGGCTTTAAAGATGTGTGCCGCCACCACCACCTGGCATGCTGTTTTCAAAATTAACCACAGCATCTAGGTGAAGTGAAGCAGGAGTTCATCATGCATTGTTTTCAGTTGTTCCTTATGTTTGAAAGCTGCCATGATAAAACATAAAGGGCTGACTTGGTAAAGTGCCTGCTGTTAACCGAGTTTGGATCTCTAGCAGCCAGGTAAAGAGCTGGACATGGTGGTATGTGTTTCAAAAGCAGACCTGTCAGTCAACTGGTGAGATTTTTGGCTCAAAAATAAAAAGTAGAGAATGACTGAGCAATGACAATGTCGACCTTTTGCCTCCACATGAACATGTAATGGACATATATACTTGCACACACCCACATCTACAAATACAGATGCACACCACACCAAGTCTTTAACAAAATGGAAGGAAAAAAAGAACCATGTGCAGGTTCTTGTTGAAGCCACCAGCTAGCCTAGCCAAATGTATGAGCTCTAAGCAAAGAGACTATGGAGGAGTGTTCCCCTTTCTCCATAACCTCTCCAGCATAAGCTGTCATTTGTGGTTTTGATCTTAGCCATTCTAATTGGTGTAAGATGGTATCTGAGTTGTTTTGATTTGCATTTCCCTGATGACTAAGGATGTTGAGCATTTGCTCAACTATGTTCATAGCAACATTATTCGTAATAGCCATATCTTGGAAACAACCTAGATGCCCTTCAATTGAAGAATGGATACATTTACACAATAGAGTACTACAGGCAGTAAGAAACAATGACATCTTTCTCCAAGTGCTGGACCCCACACACTACAATACTGACCTATCTGGCAAGAACCCACTGGTGAGACAGCAACAGGACTGTCGTGGGGTTGGATCCCGACTACTCTCTTCTATGTATAGAATCAGCCTTTATAGTCATTTATCTTTCTGTCTAGGACGTTCTTCTCCAAGGATAGCCACACAGTTCACTTACAAGTTTTTGTACAAATGTTAGCATTTTTGAAGTAAGACTTAGTCTGACAACTCTTTCCTTCTGGTACTTTTATAACCATTATGTTCTATTTTTCTTCACTCACTATATTATACTAAATGATTAACTTCATTTACTGGTTTTGTTTGTCT